CAAGTTCAATAATAAACTAGTGGTGATGAGATGTGAAGGAATCAGAACCCTCACACACTGCTGGTGGGAATGGAACATGGTATAAATGCTTTGGAAAACAGTCTGGCAGTTCCTCAAACAATTCAACATACAGTTACTATGATCCAGGAATTCCACTCCTAGGTACGTACCCAAGAGAAATGAAAACATACGTTCTTCTGTATTGTGAGCACTCAATGTCAATGTGGGGATGGGGAGGTTTCCTCACATCACAACAAGCTATTCTCAGACACCACCAGATTCCACAGGGTAACGGTTCAGTTCTGCAAGACTGCCCACCCCACCCCCAGGCCAGCTGCAAGTCCAGATTGTTAACTGTACCTCCAACCAACTGGCTATAAATCAGAGGCTCCCACGACCCCCTTCTTAATTTGATGAATTTGCTAGAGTGGCTCAAAAAACTCAGGGAACCCACTGACTCTCTAGATTATCAGTTTTTTATAAAAGGATATAACTCAGAAACAACCAGATGGAAAAGATGCATGAGGAAAGGTATGCGGAAAGGGGTGTGAAGCTTCCATGTCTTCTTTGAGAGTGCCATTCTCCCCAAATCTCATGTGAATGGCCCCAAAGCAATACAAACCCTGTCCTATTGGGTTTTTATGGAGGCTTCATTACATAGTCATGACTGATTAAATCACTGGCCACTGGCAAGTGATTCAACCTCCACCCCTCACTCCTCCCCAGAAGTCTGGGGTGGGACTGAAAATTCCAACCCTCTAATCACATGGTTGAATCTCCTGGCAACCAGCCTCTATCCTTAGGTGGGATCCAAAAAGTTACTCCATTAACATAACAAAAGGCAATTTTATGGCTCTCATCACTTAGGATATTACAAGGGTTTTAGGAGCTCTATGCAAGAAATGGGAATGAAGACCAAATATATATTTATTAATAAATTACAACATCACATATATCCACACAGAAACTAGTACATAAATGTTGATAGAAGCACTATTCATAATAGCCAAAACCCTAAGTAGCCATTATGGATTAATAGATAAGCAAAATGTGGTATACCCACACAATAGAATATCATTTAGCCATTAAAAGGAATAAAATCCTGACACATGCTATAACATGAATGAATCTTGAAAACATTATGTTTAAGTGAAAGAAGCCAGTCAAAAAAGACCACATATTATATGACTGCATTCAGATGCAAGGCCGGAACAGGAAAATCTACAGACAGAAAGTAAATTAGTGCTTGCTTAGCACTGGGAGGGTGATGATAGGGAGCTAAGGGACTGATAAGTAAAAGGCACAGGGTTTCTCTTTGAGGTGATGAGGATGTTCCAGACCGTGGTGATGGTTGCATGTACCTGTGAATAAACTAAAAACCACTGAATTACACATTTTAAATGAATGATTATATAATAAGGGAATTATATCTCAGTGAAGCTGTTAAAAATTAATACACTAAATGTTATTATGGAAGTGAAAAACCCATCTTAACCACAGTCAGCATCAAAAGGTTGGCTTGACTTTTCATGATCCTCGTCCTCTCTGGTACTTCCTCCTACCATGGGTGTGTTCTGGGTCCTCCTGACACCGGCTTCTTTACATGCACATTTTCTGAATGACTTTTATCACTTCCTTGTTAAACTGTTTCACTTCTGCCTCACGTATGCCTGTGTTTTCTATGTATTTTAATTTTTACCCGTACCCACACACACACACCTTGAGCCAAACCGTAATGCAGAAGCCCAAAGCAATCGTGTACAAAGGCCTAAAGATTTTTGTCAAATGCCTTAGAGTATATCTCGGATCTTACCCAGCTTTGAAAAGCTGTAAGTAGTCAAGGTTATAATTATTGTATTAAAGTCCACCCATTATTTCTCTCCTCAGTTGTAGCACCCAACGCTAAGGATATGTGTTAGGAGCTATGAAAAACAACCACAAGTAAAACAGCCAGCCATAAAATGTCATAGTCAGAAGTGAACTCAGAGCTGCTCATATCCAATTCTCTCATTTTATAGTCAAGGAAACAAGTAAATTGACTTTTCTATTTTTTTTTTTTAAAGATTTTATTTATTTATTTGACAGAGAGAGATAGCGAGAGCAGGAACACAAGCAGGGGGAGTGGGAGAGGGAGAAGCAGG